GCTCCCAGTTAACTCTTAGCAATATGCAAAAATTCAGTTGAAAGCTGAAGGAAATTAAAACAAATCTACTAGAAGCAATTAAATCAATGATATTGTTCTATAGTTTCCACACTCTGTTGGGTCACCCTTCTTTGGAATGGGAACAAATATAGATCTCTTCCAGTTAATAGGCCAAGTGGTTGTTCTCAAGATTTCTTGGCACAACTTGGTGAGCACATTCACGGCAACATCTGTTAGCTGAAATATGTCAGTTGGTATACCATCTATTCCTGGGACCTTATTTTTTGGTATTTCCTTCAAAGCAGCCTGAACTTCTTCCTTCTCACCATAGGCTCTTGCTCATATGTTATTTCATGAAATTCTTCTGTCTTCCAATTCCTTTCGATACAGTGACTCCGTATATTCTTTCTATCTTCTTTTAATACTTCCTGAATCATTTCATATTCTGCCTAAAGCATCCTTGATTATAGAAACTCGAGGTTTGAATTTGTTCTTCAATTCCTTGAGCTTAAGAAATGCTGAATGAGTTCTGCCCTTTTGATTTTACAACTCCAGCTCCTTGCACATTTCATTGTAATATTTTGCTTTGTTATTCCATGCTGCCTTTTGGAATCTTCTGCTCAGCTCTTTACTATCTTGAATTCTTCCTTGTGCTTTGGCTTCTCTGTGCTCCAGTGCAATCTTCAGAGTTTCTTCTGACATCCATTTGGGTCTTTTTTTTCTCTTCTGTCTTTGTAATGACCATTTGCCCGAAGTCAAGGCTGGGTTTAGAAGGGGTTGTGGTACCAGGGAGATTGTAGCTGATGTTAAATGGATATTAGCTGAAAGCAAAGAATACCAGAAGAATATATATCTGTGTTTCATTGATTATGCAAAGGAGTTTGACTGTTTGGATCATAAAAAACTGTGGCTGACTCTGAGAAGAATGGGGATCCCAGAACAATTGATTGTTCTCATACAAAACCTATACTTGGAGCAAGAGGCAGTCATCAGAACAGAGCAGGGAAACAATGCATGGTTCAAATTTGGAAAGCTGTATGCCAGGGATGTGTCCTATCTCCACACCTTTCCAACCTGTTTGTAGAACAGATTATCCAAGAGGCTGGGCTCTATGAGGAGAAGTGTGGCATCAAGATTGGTGGAAGATCTATCAATAATCTGCGTTATGCAGATGACACAATACTGCTTGCTGAAACTGAGGAGAACCTGAAATGCTTGCTGCAGAGGGTCAAGGACTACAGCCTTCAGTATGGATTGAGGATTAATGTCAAGAAGACAAAGATTCTGACCATTGGACCAATTGGCAGCATCAGGATGGATGGTGAAGAGATTGAGATTGTTAACAAACTTTAGTCTGCTTGACTCCACTGTCAACACTCTTGGCACCTGTAGCCAGGAAATAAAAAAAATGTATTGTGATGGCAAAGTCTGCTGTTAGGGACCTCTCCAAAGTACTGAAGAGGAATGGTGCCACTCTGGAGACTAAGGTGCATCTGATATAGGCTATGGTCTTTGCAATCACTTGTTATGCATCAGAGAGTTGGACAACGACTAGGAAGGATAGGAGAATTGATGCCTTTGAGCTGTAGTGCTGGAGAAGAGTATTGAGTGTACCATGGACTGCCAAGAAAACAAACAGATTCATCCTGGAGAGGGTTAAACCAGGCCACTCCTTGGAGCAAGGATTCTGGGGCTTTGTCTGACATAGTTTGGACATGTTGTAAGGAGGGACAGGTCCTTGGAGAGGGACATCATGCTTGGGAGGGTGGAGGGACAGCCCAAGAAGAGAAGACCCTCTATGAGGTGGATTGATTCAGTGACTGGAGTAATCCAGATGGGTGTGTCAGACGCAGTGCGATTGGCACAGGATAGAGCAGGGTTTATGGCTGTTGTACATAGCGTCGCTATGAGTCGCAAGCAAATCAACAGCACATAACAACAACAACTAGAAACAAAATATTAACTTGAGAAATTGGTAAATGTGAAAAGAAGGGAAAAATGGTTTATTATTGAATACACATTAAACCAGAGTGTGATGCATCACACACAATCTACTAAAGAGATTAAAATGAGAAAATCAACTCTTTATAGAGTCAAGGAAATGTGATCCGTTTCATATATATTTCATGATAAATTACACAAGTGCTTAAATAAGAGGAACAGAGAGCATCACATGTCACAAGTTGTTCACGCTAAAGTCACTTCATGCTTGGCATAGCCATAAGGGTTTTCTGATTTATTCAAAAGAAAAATAAACTCCTTATATCTTTCTTATTATACTTGTTTATTTACAAAATTTGAATATATTGTTTTTCACACTAGTGCCTTCCCATTTCCTTTAACCCCAACCATCAAATTGTGTGACCCCATGATTAATCACACACACACACACACACACGTCCCCTACACATCCTCATCTCTCTTCTTCCACCCTCCCCCTCCCTTGGATCCTCGTGTTTATTCTACTGTAATGGTTTTATACGGTATTTGTCCTCAAGGCACTGAGTTCACTCCGGTCTTTCCCAAGTTAGGTAATCATTTACAAAATTATTGCACATGTGTACTGCATAGTATTATAGTGTGTGAATGTATCATGATTTCTCAATCCATTCAATTGTGCTTGGACATTTGGGCTGTTTCCATGGTCTTCCTTGGACCAAGCCACACCCACGCCTTCTCCCTGCCTCCTGGATACCATCTTTGGTGCTCTTCTTCCAGGTAAGTGAGGGGCAGAACTCCTGGCCATGCTCAGTGAACAAGGCAGGGCCCATCTGGGGGACCTCCTAGCTTCCCCTGGAGCCACACCCATGCCTTATTCCTGCTTCCCAGAAGTTCCTTAGATCTTTTATAACAATATTGTTGTTACCTGCTGATGAGTCACTTGTGACTACGTACCATAGCTCTGAACCATTCTCTATCCTGTTCCAACTTCTATCTGAGAAAATAATTCATCAACCAAAATTGAGCTTGTCCTCAGTGACTCACTCACTCATTCATTGCCATTGAGACAGAATTGACTCATTGGTGACTATCGATTGAGTTTCAGAGACTATAATTATATGGGAAAAGTTTGCCCATCTTTCTACCATAGAACAGTTGATAATTTTGAATCAGAGCCTTTGTATTAGTGGCTCAATTCTCTAAGAACTATGCTGCTTAGCCTGGAGCTCATATAGGCTTCTACAGTCCCAAAGAAATTGAGAGACAGGGGCCTTGTTCAGAGAAATGACTCCCATGGCTTTGAAGAAACATTTCTGAATTGTAAAGAAAAAGAGAAACACATACACACAAGGATCTTAGTAAGCTTTAAAAATGGATTTATGCATTTCAAAAATGGCAGTGAACAAGTTGATAAGACTTCAATGGTGTATAAGAATTATGTGTTCAATTGTCAACTAAAATGGTGGAAAAGCATTATATGTTCAACTGCCAACCAAAAGGCCTGAGGTCTAAGTAACCAAAGATGCCTTGGAAAAAAGGCCTGTGTGGAAACTGAAGAGGATTTGAAGCACTTGCAGCAGAAGGTCAAGGACTATATTCTTCTACATGGATTGAAGCTCAACATCAGGAACACAAAGATCCTTACCACTGGGCCAACTAGCAGCACCATGATGGATGGAGAAAAGATTGCCGTTGTTAATAATTTCAACTTGCTCGACTCCACAATCAACACTCTTGGCACTAGAAGTTTTGAATTCAAAAGACAAATTGCACTGGAGAAGTCTGCTGTCAAGGACCTCTCCAAAGTGCTAAAGAGCAAAGGTGTCAGTCTAAAGTAAAGACTACGGTGTGTCTAATCCAAGTCATGGTCATTGCAATTACTTGCTGTGCATCAGAGAGCTGGACAATGGCTAAGGATGACAGAAGAAGAATTGCTGCCTTTAAGTTGTGGTGTTGGAGAAGAGCACTTGAACATACCACAGACCTCTAGGAGAACAAAATAAGTTTGTCTCGGAGAAGGTGAAACCAAGTTTCTCCTTGGAGACTAGGATTTTGAGGCTCTGTTTCAAATACTTTGGGCATGTGGCCAGGAGGAAGCAGTCCTTGGAGAAGGTTATCATACTCAGAAGGGTGGAGGACCAGTGCAGGAGAGGAAGACCCAGGATGACATAGATTGAAACAGTAACTGGGCAATGGGATTAAGTGTGTCAGAGTCAAGACTGGCTCAGGCCAGGGCAGAATTCAGAGCTATTGTACATAGGGTTTCTATGAGCAACAGACAACTCAATGGCATATAACAACAATAACAATTTCTCTCTTGAAAATTAGCCACTGAAAACCCTATGGCGCACAGTTTTACTCTGAAACAGATAGGGTCATCATGAGTGTAGGATAGTCTAACACCAGAGACACTTGGTTAGTGTATAAATTTCAATACCTACTCCAGCAAATAGATTTTGCCTTTGGATTAGCTGCACAATTCCATAAGGAATGTGTCACAGAGCTTCCTAGGAGACTTAGCACAGGATTGATGAGTGGTGAGCTCTGTAAAAAATTTCTTTTTATGTTATGCATTTTGAAACATACTTTATTTAGTAAAAATGTAAAACACTGTTGGTGATCCACACAAATAATAAAAACTTACATACAAACACATAAACTAAGGTGAGCAATATCAATAGTTTAAGAATCAATTTCAACATTTGAAAAAATCAAAACTGTATCATAAACACATCAAATTTAAGTCTAGAATATTGGAAAAAAGCAAGATGACAGAAGATCACAAAGAAATGAAAAGGCAATATCAATATTGTTGTTGATGTAATAGTAAGAGCCATTGGACATATTTCTTGGACAGAAGTTATGGGAGAAAGGTCATCAAAGAAGCTATGAGTGTTTGTTTAAAAGCATGGAAAACGATGAAAGAGCAAACTTCTAAATCCACCACGATCGGGCAAAAGAACCAGATTGCTTAAGAAATTTGGAGTTGGGATTTAATCTTATTTCAAAATCCAAGTATTTGCCATTTACAAATCTTAAGCCTGGAACCAAGAGATCCATCACAGACAAGAGGCCACTTTGCTTAGGAGCTTTCCCAAGGCCCCTTTGACATCCTTGTTCCTCAGGGTGTAGATGAAAGGGTTCAGCATGGGGGTGATCACGGTGTACATCACTGAGGCAGTTGAGGCCTTCTGGGAAGAGTGAGTCGCAGCAGATGTGAAGTAAACACCAACGCTTGTGCCATAAAATAAAGAAACTACGGAGAGGTGAGACCCACAGGTGGAAAATGCCTTCTGCCTTCCACCAGATGAGGACATCTTACGGATGGATGAAACAATTCGTGAGTAAGAGAAAAGGATACCAACGAGGGGGAAAACTCCTAGCACACTAGTCATGATATATATCATTGTGTTGTTCAGGAAAGTATCGGAACAGGCCAATTCAAGAATCTTTGTTAGTTCACAAAAGAAATGTGGAATTTCAAGATCTTTGCAGAAGGTTAGGCGTGGAATTAAAGAAATATGTAGGACACCAATTATGACACCAATGAACCAAGTAATTAACATCAACAAGCCACATACTTGGGGGTTCATGATGATTGTATAGCGCAGCGGGTGACAAATGGCCACATACCGGTCATAGGCCATGACAGTCAGAAGGAGAGTGTCCAGAGTAGGAAAAA